AAATATACCCCAGCGACTTAAGACTGCTTTTGTGCTCCAGGGTCACATATATGGCCACGTACACACTGCAGCTAAATTCAGTTGTCAGTTCACTTTTTAGTGCTTAATCCAGTTCAGTCATTTACAGGATTGACAACCACATTCTACTACAACCAAATCAACTGCCGAAAAATGCAGGTAGTGGTAACCACATTTACAGAAATTACACGCAGAATCAAACTGAACAACTAGCTGTTAATGACGTATTTTAACACGTATCAGTTTCTTGTATTCTCGATGGCACATATTGACTCATTTGTGTTGCCAGATCTTACTAGAAAAAACAGCAAATAAGAACGAGCCCATAATAAACTCAAATCCAAACGCGTTATCTTGGAAATAAGCCACGTGCCAAAATATTGTGACCTGCCTACTTTATTGACCCCATAAACTAGATCGCTTTATGAGCCGAACACAAAGATGCTTAAAGGGGACATCAGATGCAAAATTCACTTTTACATGGTGTTTGCATATAAATGTGTCTTAGCAGTGTGTGGAAACAACCACCCTACAATGATAAAAATCCATTTACTCCTTTTGTTTTTAATCCCCCAAAAACCTAAACAGTCTCGATCATCAAGCCGTTTTGATTTTCTGAACAGTATGATGTCATACTGCTCAGGCCCCGCCCACAACCGCTGATGACTGTCCCGTATTAGCATATCTCCGCCCTCAGCCAGTTGTACGCTGCCCGCGATTTTCTGTAGCGATAACAACGTCTCGAAAGCAATGCAGGTGTTTTGTAGTTGAATGTAAGGCCGGTTTCACACCACAAGCGTGATTGGTGTATATATTTTTTTTTTTGGCATGTTAACAAATGAGTGCATTGACACCGGGAGCAGCGCTAAAGCGATGGTTTCCCTGCTAAGTTTATTTTTGCTGCGCTGCTCACACTCAATTAAAGTGACAGCACACTTTTGATGGAAAAAATAAATATGATTTCACACAAAAAGTGCTAAAAATGCACTGAATAAGCATGTCTAGTGTTTTAACAAGAATTGGAGTATGTCAGAAAAGAAAATGAAGAATCAAAAATATGTATAGAAGATTTACCCGTTTAAACTTGTTTTTATTTATTCAGTTTGGGTTAAAGAATGGTGTATTATTTAAAAAAAAAACATAAACAGCACGTTCTATATCGAAGTATGACTGAAACGACACGATCGGAGCTGTTTTTGTTGCTTACCATTAGCATGCGAATCCCCGTGTTAAACTTTCAAGACTAAAACTTTCAAGTTTATAACCGACCTACTTCTAAAAACAAATGTATAGTAGTTTTTGTAAAGAGATATGTTGCGTTGGAGCCGCTTCTAGTGTGAATACTCTCGCGAGTCTGCAGCTGCAGTGACGATGAAGTTACGCTGACGCGAAGCTCAAGCTTGCGGTGTGAAACAGACCCATCAGAGCCACTGAGGACGCAGTGGATTAGTTTTGTTTTTGATGGTAACGCGCCACTGAATACACAAAAAACAGAGGAGAGGGGCGGGGTGAGCAGTAGCTCCTTATCATTTAGGAACATGCACTGAAACGGTGTGAACAGAGCTGTTCTTGACAAGGTAAAAAGAGTGTTGTTTTACATGACCATTGAAGAATTTTAACCAAAGTGCGTTACAGACATTTCATGAACACCCTTAAAGAATCATACCAACATCCGATGTCCCCTTTAAAACCACTTAAGCTCAGGGCGTTTTTTGGTATTTTCGCCTAAATTTAACATACTCAAATTCAAATGTTTACCCTACTCAGACGAGCGTCTTTTTCTGTACCTGGACAAAACGCTATATATCTCACCGATGGAAGCACGCAGAAACGTGGAAATGGTCTTGTTTGAAAGAAGAGATCCTAATCTAAAAGATAATATAGAGTATATAGATATTTGTGGCTGTTTGCGGCTGACTGAAGCAGTGCTACGAGTATAAATGTAAATTCGCTCAGAGGTGACCAAATTTTACATCGCGGTTCTATCGAAGATAATTCGATCTGTGATTGTCACACAATGAAATAATCTACATCGTCAAATTCCTGAGAATGAGAGCTTTCTTGTGATATATGACTTGACTTTTTTGTGAAAAATATATAAAATACACATTCTTCGTAAAAATTATTCGCAATGGTTAGGCGGAAATTCGTGTGTGGGACGAATACATTTCTAAGCTTAATTTTACTGCTTTATGAATATAAAAACCAAAAGGAATGGTATTCTTTGTAAAGAAGACACTCCAAGCTTTCAAATGAACCCATATATGGGCTGATACCATATAAGGAAGGCTATGTAAATGAAGCATAAACATTTTTTACGTCATTTTGGACCCGTATCCGGGTCCGCAGAGTTTAACTGGTAGCATTGCTTATAATAAGTGGACATGGCAACCCTTCAAGAACACACTCTGCAAAGCAACCTTCCAAACATCAAAAACAGCAGATAACAAACGCACGAGAATGTTGCTATGGTTACCATGGTGTCAATCAATGCAGTTTCGAAAGTGAGTTCTGTTCCGTTGACACACAAAACAATAATTTAGGGGATTTGCTCCCGTATTTAAAAGCAGTTTTGAATCCTGAAACATTACAGTGTGTACTGGCCTACACTGTAAACAAAATTCCATACAATTTACGTAAAAAAAACAGCAGCTGTGGTTGACGGAATTTTACTGTAAAAAATACAGTAGCAACGTTTTAGGTTTCACGGTTTTAACTTAAATTTACAGTTAAATACCGTAATTTCTTTAACTGATATAATGTTAATATACCAACCTACTGAAGTACTGAAATCTGTTTTGTACCTTTGTAATACACTGATAACCACCAAAAGCAGGTGCTGATGAGAAAGTCACATGATGAACCAAAGCCCATCACAAGCAGCTTTTAAATAATAACATATATAGAAGGTGCACAGTGTCGTTCACACAAACACCAAACACCATCATGGTAACACACATGAAACTGAAATAATGCAATAAACATTCATTTAACAACATTAGGTGTAACACACAACCCTAATATACAAACCTGATAAGAAAAAACTAAGAAGAAACAGTTATTTCAACAAAAAAACATCAAATTAGAAATGTAACGCAGGGAATTCTGGGAATGTCAATTTACGGTTATTCACTGTAAATTATACGGTCTTTTTCACTTCCATAAACGGTATACTACCGTAAAATTACATGTAATATCCAATACAGTTTTTCACCGTATATAGTAGGGGAATTTACCGTTAACCATTTAACAGGTTTTTACTGTAGCATTTTTACAGTCTTTTACCGTTAAATTCACGGTCATTTTTTACAGTGTATGTGAGACTGTTAGGTTTATTCATACCAAGATGTTCATTGTGTACAATATTTTAAATATAAACAATTGATTCCTATTCACACCAGGGTTATTAACTAAAACAAAAACCATAAAAAAAACAAACATTTCCCTTGAAATAAATAAATGTTAACTGAAATAAAGTACAAAAAAACATAAGCTTATTTATTTCTAATTTTCGTTTAATTTAACTTGAAGTACTAAAATAACTAAAACTGAAGTTTAAAAAAATATATAACTTTATAAAGACATTAAAATTCTTTTTTAAAAAATGACAAAAACAAAAAAACACTAAAACTTGAACATTAAAAATATATATTTATATATATTATATTTTTAAAATGTAAGGATCGACTTCGTACCGAAGTCCAGGTACTTTTAACACCACTAGTCTTCTGAAATAACACTAAAGACTGGTCTTTTTTATTATTTATTTATTTGTTTGTTTGTTTTCCTCCTTCAGTTGATAAAGAAACCAAACAAAACTGTACAGGCTTTTGCTCAGCCACTCCTGATATTCAATCCAACGCACTGGTGGATCGAGAGCTGTTTATTTGTTCAAAGCCCCATCTGTGGTCATGGAGCAGCTGCTGTCTTTGCTCAGTATATAACTGATAATGTCCTGTTGTCATGTTTCTCTATCATATTGTAGGTAGTCTTGCCAGCAGACATGCGTCATTAAATGCGTCTATGGAGAAGTGGAGCCCTTTCAAGTAAATCATCTAAAGAGAGGCGTTTCTGGATCTACAGCAGCCCGAGCTCAGTATTATCATAAACCCATTAGAACACCTTGATTAATGTGCCTTGTATCGGTGTCTAATTTTTAGTTTAGTTTTTTTTTAATTGTGGAATGAACGTGATGTCATTTGATCTGTTTTTATTTTTTAATCAAAAGTCCAGTTTGAGTACCTTTTGTAATTTAGATTGTAGCCTCAATTTGTGCTTTAAATTTGCTTGAATAGTTTTAGTGAGAAATTTGCACAATCGTGCGTGTACCAAGAAGCATTTTATTTTGTATAAATTGTACATAAAGAAATGCTAGTTGCGGTCTGTGTATTTACAATTATGCTGATATTATTGCGCGTTCGTTGTTGAGCTGTTCATTGTGCTTTTTCAGTTTGTCTGGGCTTGGGTTTAGTTGTTATGCTTTATTTTATAGTTTATATTAGTACTTCATTTTTGCTGAATGAATTGTGTATGTTTGGGAAAAAGGCTCCATCGCCTACATTGCATTTGCTTCAGTGCCAATAAACAAAAAGAATTCCCTCCATGTTAGTAATTTAACTCTGGTCCTCTCTCTTTTTTTTTTTTTTTTGACAATAAATGTTTTTTGTCATAGTGAGGTCTCTGCGTTTTGTGTTCGTGCAATGAATCGACATTTTCTTACATCCCTGTGTGTCAATTTCTGCAGTTCGTTTTAATGGTGAGAGAAGACATTTGATATCACAACAAAGTTTTTTTTTTTTTGCATTTATGAGAAAAGTTAGTGCATCCCATACACACAGATATTAGATTGGCATTTGAGCAGTGTTATCAGATAATAGTATTATACTTCAGGATATGACACTTTGAATGTATCATATGTTTTGGACAGCTTAAATAAACCTAAATGCCCAGTTCTTGTATTGAAGCGTTAGTCTGTCCCACTGCAATCTCTTCAGTATGGGACGTCCCACCAAATTCACCCTCAAAAGCAGATTGCATGGGATCTACAGGCAACAGCTGAAGTCAATGTCAATCTGCTCTAAATGGGAGCTTTCAGAATGATATAATGCACCAAAATGTGCAAATCCACTAAAGATTGGCTCAAACCAAAAACTTAAAATCTCAATCCAGTTCAAATATTGTAAAGGACTTGAAGCAAGCTGTACGTAACGCAAGAAACCCTTCTGATATCACGTAGGAGAAGAAACTTATATCAATGTCATAAAGCTATAAAGTTATTTCTGCCAAAGTGATCAGTGCCAACAAATTTAAAGATGGTCTCTTCCCACAGAAAACAACTGCATTTCTGTAAACATTTTTGTTGTTCACTTTAAATGCTCAAGTTAAATTATATCACCAATTGATACTGTCTAAATAAAGGCCCATGCAGTGTCAACATGCCCATTTATTGCAAAAACTCAAAACTTCTCAATAATTCTACTCTTAGTACACGTAATTCTTGTGAATAATATTTCATAACACTGAAAGTCTACAAGCACGTGTTTGTAAGTAGGATGAGAGATAAATACCTGGTGATTTTGTACTATGAAAATACAATAATAATTACATTTTCAGCTGCAAATTATTGTTTCAAAAACATGGTAACAGTTTTCTAGGCCTAAAACCAAGGACCTCGACAAGAATTTATCGATTTAAACGATTAGTGGACATGCTACAATTTCAATGAATTAGTTTACGCTCATTTCTATAGTTATCTTTATAATCGTTCAGTAAACTAGACGTCCTTACTTTATGATCAGTTGCGTAATACGCTCAGATTATCACATGGTGTTGAAGCCTACAGTAGCGATCACTCATTGGCTTTACGAGCTGTCACTCAAATAACCAGCCAATCCTGTGCGTCCGAAGAGGCGGGCGTTCCGCGCATTACCGCTGGTGTTTACATCCAAACCCAAAGTACTTAAATAACTCCAACATGTCAGCCTCTATAGCACGGGCGACGGTGAGGGCGGTCAGCAGACGGAAAATACTGCCAACGAGAGCCGCTTTAACGCTGGTGAGTGCTGAGTCTCTTTACAACACGACGAAGAAGCCGAACAAGCATTTACAGTACGTTAGTTCCCAAATACTCGGCTTAGCATGCGTGACAGATGCTAGTCCTAGCCAGAGCTCGGTTATCTGATCAATAACAGACAGTCTCGCTCATTCTGACACATTCAGACGGAGAGTCACATATAACAGCAGGTTAGGTCTGACTTGCATTGTGGCTGTGTTGTTCAGATTGACATCAAGGTCAGCGTTTGTGCAGGTTAGCCGTTAGCTGATGCTCGGAGAGCCGAATCAACTGCAGCAGAAACTGATGTCATATTTATATGTTTATATATTTAATCTCCGCTTGCTTGGACTGTCCTGGACGAACAGCAGCAGTTGTTTAGGGTGAGGTCAGGGCAGAGGCTTGTAATGTTGCTGTGATCAGATAACTGGGTTTGTTGTTAAAGACTCTCTCCAGCTGCAGCATTGCTGTCACGTGCTGATTGAGTACGTGCTGAAGTTGAGATGGTTTGGCTGCTGGATATGTTTACACTTTTTAAACCGGAGTGAACCCACTACTTTAAAGGTGTTGTGCATGTGAATATGGCACTGTGGGATGTAATTGTGTATCTTCTTCACCATAAAAGTCTTATAAAATGTTACTAACAATATATTTCTGCCTCATCCGCATCATATGACCCCTTTAAGACAATTTGCTGTAGGCCTATTCCATATAATAATATGCAATAAAACAATATACAATATGATTTGTTAACACGTAGGCTACCTAGGAGCTTGCTGCATGAATCCGTGAGTACAGTTTACAAACGCGAGGGAACGGATTGCGAAAGCGTACGCACGGTTTATGAATTTGTGGGTACGGATTCAAAAACCGAAGGTACGGTTTACAAAATCTGAGCACACGGATTGGAAATCCATGGGTACGGTTTATTAATCCGTGGGCACGATTTGTTAAACCGAGGGAACAGTTTAAGAATTCGTGAGTACGGTTTATAAACTGAGGGGACGGATTGCAAAACCGTCGCCACGGATTGTTTTTTTTTTTCTCCTACAGGTGACTTCCCGGGCTCCGTAATAATCTACATTGGATCGCAGTCAGAAGTTAATTACAAAGCTGATTGTAGCTATAATTTCTCTGTTACCCATATATGATTATATTTCATGAAGTATTTGATCAAAAGAAATCACATAAGTTCATAAGATTTTTAATTATAGTAAAATAATTTATAATTTAATGCTCTTATCTAAAAATGACTTGCAGTAGAGATTTACATGGAGAACCCACTAGTAAAGCAAGAAACCACAGGTGAATTGGGTAAAAATGTTAACTAGTAGATGTCTACACTAGGGGTTGCACCGACTAGTCGACTTCAATGCTCTGCCATGACTCTTTAAGCTTAACGTCGACTAGTCGCTGGTCCTATAGAGCAGTGTTTCTCAACCAGGGGTCCGTGGACCCCTAGTGGTCCTTGACATAAGGCCAGGGGGTCCGTATAAAGTATACATTTTTGTATAAATTTTGTATATTTTGACATGACATGTTCCCATGAAAGAAAAATCCAATATAGCTGATGATATGGCCAAATACTGGACAAGTCAGCTAGCTTTTTTTATAAAATTATACTTGACTGCATTTGGTCCTCACAAAGACACAAATGATACGAGTCAATTTTGTTCTGGGGGTCCTTGAGGATGGTTCTGAATTGGACTGGGGTCCGGTACGCCAAAAGGTTGAGATTCACTGCTATAGAGGGCGCAACAGGATTAGAAATCTTTGAAGGACTTCCTCATTTACGCTCTGTTTCCAAACAGTTAAAATGACAAATAAATGCATTTGTTCATTAATGACGACATCAGCGACTAGTCGACTTCGACTCGACTTTCATCACATAAAAGTCGACTTCAAAAAAATCAGAAGTCGTTCAACCTGTTTTCTGACATGTGATGTTTAAATATGCAAATGATGCATTATCTAATGAAATACACACTAATTTGCATCATTTCCAGAGCAGAAATCTGAACGTCAGATAAAGCCAGGTTCAAAGTTCTTGTCTGATTTTGTTGACGCATTCGAACTAAAGGTTTTTACAGAGGTGGTTTTGGATTTTCTATAAATCAGAAAATACTGTCAACAGACAGAAAAAAACACCATGTTTTTATTAAGCATATAAACCAGTGCAAATGATTTATGAACAAACCCCTCTGTGAATTTAGATGGGTTTGGGGTGTGTAAGTGCTGCTGAACTAGTGGAGGAGACAAAACTCATCATGAGAAAATTGTAAACATATTTATTGTAATTAAAATAAATAAATTGATAAAACAAACACTTAAATGTGTATTTTGGATGTTTTTCCCACTAGTCTAAAAGAAGACATGTTATGGAAGTAAAATAGCCCAAAATCTCAAAATTGACCAGTGCTTAAAGCAGCACTATGCAACTTTTTCTGTGTTCAAAATTTGCCAAATGTGTATATGAGCGAGTACATCATGAATTCATCTTCCAAACCGCGTCTTTGTCTTATTCCGAATCACTACGGTACACTTATAATAAGTACTTATATTTGGACTATTGTAGCCTGGTTGGGTCGTCACCGCTGCGGAGGAACACATACCTGCGTGAATCGCCATAGACACAAACTTAGAGAAGTAGCTCCGGTTGGAATGTTCTTCCGCGGGATGTGTGCAGTTCTGTTTATTAACCGCTAGAGCGCCAAAAGTTACATACTGCTGCTTTAAAGGCCTTAAACCAGCAACTTTCCGGTTATCAGCCTGGAGGTTTACTGACTATCCCATGCATGTTGGTATGCTAGTCCGCTATTGTCAAAGGAAGCTCAGACGTCTTATTTAAGTTTGCTATATATAGGACTTTGATATGGAACTAACGTTTCTTTCTCAAGTGACAATTCACTCTCAGAAAAAAAGGTACAAAATCGGTCACTGGAGCGGTACCTTGTAGATACTGATGTGGGTCAAAGACATTAAAGGCGGCTGAATGGATTCGAAAACGGTAAAACTCAACTGTTTAACTCTAGGGGAGTCGGAAAATGAGCCTATTTTCAAAAATAGTGGAGTGTTCCTTTACGATGTCCGCATCAAAATACATTTACAAAAGTAAAGTGT